TAGTAATAGTTAACAATACAATGGTAAATGAAAGTGATGAATATATCGTATGACTTGATTAGCACAACTAAAACTGACAATTAACAGAAAACCGACTGTTTGTAAATCAATATTCACTTACGTAACCTTGAGTTATTCAAATAACGAACCTACAACTTTAGATATGAATAACATACATAATGAAAGTCACACTTGACTTTTATATGCACCACGCTAACATAGTTTAATGTGTTTTATCTTATTAAATCAATTGGTCTATCGATAATCTTGTCAAAGTTGAAGGTGAGTATTAGATAAGTACTCAAGTCAGGGGTTACAATAGCACCACAGATTAAGGTGAAACAAGTGTCTAGTCCTTCATGATTAACACAACATTGACGATTCTTGATGATAATCATAATCAAATATTATGTTATTTAACTATAAATGATATTCATATAAGTGTGAAAAATTTAGCTAACACAAAATATCAATAAGTATAATATATTTTTATACATTATATTTAGCATCAAACCTAAACTTACGCAACATAAGCTAGATGTTACGGTTTTATGTAGTTAGGGTAAACAAAACTAGTGAATTTATCGATAAGAAAATTGTTTGATGAATATGAATACACGTATTGTAAACATGTGAATGCTAAAACAAACCATGAAAATAAAAATGCTAATGAAATTTGTCAAATTATTGTATGTAACAAAATGTGTGTTCTATAAAGTGTAAACTTATAATTGAATAAAATAACATTCTAAACTAATCATCATTTGTAAAGTAGTATGTTGTCCTATGCATAGAATTTAATAACGCGTAGATCAGTTGAAATTACTAAATCGAAATGTTTTAAACCCATTAAGAGTTGAGAAAGCCTATGCGTGAAAACAATAAAATGTATTGCGTTACCATAGCCCTTACGATACTTGTACTATTAATACTAATGTAAGATGTTACAACAAAAACTATCTATTGAGTTAGTCGACAGATATTTTCGGGGTTATTAAAAATGTTTTTAAAAGGTTAGGACTATTGTAAACAACAACTAAGATACCAATATTGAAGTGTTAAGTATAAATGATTGAGCTTTTATTATTTTCATCATTACTGATGAACTAACTACTATTGATGAATGCCAACAACGATGACCTTCAATACAGGTATCACGAAATAGATATTTCCTGGTAGACATTCGAGTTTCAGTGATATTAAAGTTCAATAAATTAGAATTATATAGCGTATAAAAATCACAAAAATGTTCAGCTGATTCCCTAGATGCTTAGACAGAATTTTTAAATGGTAGCAGACTGAGTTGAAAGGTGGATGCATACTTTCTATCGAGGGAACAACGATTATTATAACTATAGAACAAGAGTGTTAAATAGTCAAACGAAACATTACCACGGTGTCGATACAGCCTAGTTGGCTTGCAATCTAGTTAATTTCAAATGTTTCCACCAACATGGAAAGTAGAAGACCACGTTCATCGATATCAAAACATATAATTGAAAGGGGTACAGAATTGACATCAATACAGCTTATAAAACGTTGTATAAGAAGTCTCAAGGATGAATTCCCAGGTTTGTAGAAGTCTTGGCTATTTGTAAACTTAAACCCCGATTATATGTACAAAAAAAATTTGTCGTAACCTTGGATTTACTCTGGTAATCCTTAAGTCATCTTATGGCCTAGGACAATACGACAATTTCTTCTTCTTTCTATACAATGTTAATTCTCTCTCTCCTTTATATAACTTGGACCCTTCATTTAATTGACCTTTATTAATTTTCATACAAAACGCTTTGGACAAGTATATATGTGACCAAATTGTTCAAAATGTATGGAACAAATACACTACATTTTTTAGATCAACTCCACATTCTTATCGCTCTATTGAAGTTTGTAAAACGGACTAATTGCTTTAAATTATTACAGTCCTATTTTGTAGTGACAGTGATTATAGGACTTGAAAAAATGAAGTCTGGTCTTCACTTGAAAATATAATTTTCATAATAAAATGTGCTAACATTTTTTAAGGGCGTGAAGTCAGTGATCCGGTTGAATATAAGCAAACAGTAAAACAAAGGTTGAACAAACAGGCGATGGGTAGGATACTTAAAGTGATTTAATATGACTAAAAGGAAAGTTAGACATTCGGTTGATCGAAACTTTCAGGTCGAACAGGATAACTGAGGTGAATTCGTGAAACAAGACCATCCAAGCTTCTACTTATTTGAATTTGATCTGAAAATACATAATCACGGGAGGACTATAGCTATCATTCTGGTTGTGCCATATAATTTGTACTTCTTCATATAACTAATTCTAAACTCATATTTATGGACAGTTTTATGTACAAGTGACGGTGAATCTGTATGATGATGTGCCATACAAATCCTCTACATTTGCATTCCAATGTCACAGCATCGCAATTCATTTGACTGTATTGTATCAATATCCTTTTGGTTAGTCCTGACTACTATGACCTGAATACGGTTCAAGTATTATTAAAACATTTGTTTTCATTGTGTTAATCCATCTGACTATTCTAAAGCCAAGGTTTGGAATTCATCATTGAGAAATGCATAAAGATACGTGACTCTAAACCAAAAAATTCGAGGTGAGGAAATCACTTTGATTTGGATATTACTGGATAGCGCTAAATAGTCCTCACATAAAGAATGTGCGACAACCCGAGTATGCATATATGATCTGCACTACATTACTATTATTATTTTGTCATAATTAATACTGTGAATAAGATAGTAAGACAGAAGTGAAAGTTGGATGCCAGGTCCGTGGTGTATCCTTTTTAAAACTTAAACAGTAAATCAAATTTTAAAAATGCATTCTTGAAAAAGTAAACTTCATATCTTATGAAAGATGTCATAAAAAGGCTTGAAATGAAACAATGTCCTACTTATTTGGTAAAAAGATGACTCAATGTTAGTAGCAGTAGTATTAGTTTGCTGAAGTCAAACTCTCTTATGTTATGTGCATATATGTGCACATCGATACACGTATTTGTCGATATGGCTTGCTTATAGACCCTAATAATACAATAATAATTTATTGTACTGCCTGTTAAGATGTAAATTGCATTAAAACTAATAATCAGACAATATATTTTTACTTTAATATGTTAACTAATAGTACCGATAATAAACACAAGAAAATCTTCAGCATGGGTTTGACGAAATAATTAGACGAAATTCAAATAAAATAGCACAAATCAACCATAATTTGAGTTTTCGTATTTCTGCATAGTTGCAATCTATGAAAAATCTCTTTAATTTGTGATTTTTTAAGTTACGGTGATGAAGAGTATTTTTTACGGCAAAACCTTAGCAAATGGGATGTGATTCTTCAGGTTAGTGTAGCACAATATCCAACTGACCGGGAAGCTAATTTCCACAAATGGAAAATGTATTTATGAGTCCGATGTTACTTAAAAGTTAGGGGCACGATAGTACTTGTGGACAAGTAGTGGAGATAGAACTGCGATATAACAATATTATGATATTAAAATGATCGAACAAAATAACATCAGGTGATTTATTTCAAAAAACGAATTTAACAAAAAACATTTAAAATATTGTAGGAGACCGTAGGAAAAGTAAAATAACAGCACACTTCGGAATTGACTCGACTTATGAAGTACTTAAAACATTTGATTATTTGGTAATATTCATGATAAAGAGGTTATGGTCTTAATGGCCAAAAGTTATTATAGCATTACATTCCCACCTACATTTATATAGGGTACCGTTTGTATGATTCTATTATGTTCATTACTGAAGATATATTGCATCACATGTATATAATAAAAGGTGATAGAGAAAACCTACATGTGATTTGAACCTAGCTTTTCATTAAAAATAAACTGCTGATATCAGCGAGTATTGATTTTCTTTTAAAGAAAAACATCATAGTTAGAAATTATTCACCTCTAAGTTATAGTTAAAAGACAATGGGAACACAATTGAGATACAGGTAACTCGATAAATAGAAAGTATGCTGGAAGACCATTAAGAAGTTTATCTACTGAACTCCCAGAAGGTAGAGAGGGTTCTGGACAAACTTAACAGGTATTTCTGAGGATTGACTGCTCATCCGAAGGTTTCTGATTGTGATAGTCATGCTAAATATTAAATCCGAAAAGATGAGGGTTAAAAAACCAACCTCATATACTTCCTAATGATCTTTCTCTCTGAATCACGAACATCATTTTACTAGATAATTTTTCGTTTTTTTTGCCTTCCATTTATTTTAACATCTTTCGGGTTCTGTTGGCTTTTACATATTCTGTAATGTTATAAACATTTATCAGTTTGAACTAGGAAAAGAGATGATAGTATTATAGTTAATACATTTACATTTTAACCACCGACTCTCAGGTCAGAACATCAGTCCTCACACAAAAAACCAGGCTTCAAAGAGAGTACATAGGCATCTACTTGAACACTAACTCATATTTAAAAACATTTATTTTGATTACTACTACATAATTCCTATGTAGTTTCATCAAAAGTCAAATAACCAAAGCATATTATGAACAAACCGTTAAAGTGACTAAGAGATACAACATATTAACTAAATCGAATTTAAAAACGTTACAAGAATTAGGTTTACAGAGAACATTATTATACTTCGCTAGTTCAATAGAAATAATTTTTTTCAGATAAACATAAAGTAATGAAATTGTTTTAAGACGGCAAGTTTAAATAACTCGATGATAAATACAAACATAAACTTCAAAAAAATTGAGGAAAGAAATATACATTGATTTGTGAAGTTGACTAGAAGATTGTGTTCAGATTAACACTGGAAATTTCCCTAGGAAATATAAGTTCAAAGAAACTCTCTCTCTCTCTCTCTCTCTCTCTATATATATATATATATATATATATATATATAAACAGATGTATAAGAAAGTGGTTAACATTAATTGAATACTTCTGTAATTGGTGCTCACGTATCAACTGAATCTGTAAAGTAGGTTTTTTTTTAAAAAATAAAATGCAATAAAACTTAATCAAGATGCAGTTTGATTAATTTTATTTACTCGTGACAAAATAGGGATGAACTAATCAATAGTTTATGTATGACACTTGCTTCACAAAGAAAGTTACCACATTAAGTCCATAAAATAAAGTTTTTTTAGATAAGAGAAACTCGTGATTAAAAAGTTTGAACTAATGGAAGTACGTGCACATATATAACAACAACCAACATTCCCCTTTACTAACCCTAATCATTATAGTGAACTGCTTATACAACGAATCGATTGCTGATAGAAAAAATAAAATAGAATTTATCGGTCTAAGTTACTAAATAATATAATTCTAAACGAATAAGTCTTACATTATAAACAACTTTACTATCCGAAAACAAAGAAAATTAGCAGTGCGAAGAAAGAATCAATTTAGACAATGCGGTCACTTAAGAAACGTTTTAAATTCTTAACAGCTGGCTAAGACTCTGATCTCTCATCATTTGGAAGTGTTCCACTCCTAGTCGCCTTCATTTCCATGGAACTATATCCAAATCACGACAAATAAGTTGAATGAACTTTACGAAATATTCATTGAAATGCTTTATATGGCTGGATAATATTTGATATCTCTCTCATAGTGATCGCTTTGTCTTCCTCTTAAAACGTGAGTCTCAGCATTTCCTTATATCATATTTTAGATTTCTCAGTATTTAATCTTTTCCACTATTACTACTACTATTGATACTGTTAATACTATGGGATTCGCCTCAACTATTTAAGCTCGCTGTGGTATAGCAATGCACACATGCATCATGCTCTAAGTTTCACATGACTGACTGACTATAATGCTCACCCCCTTCAGCAAATAATTAAAAATTATTCTTTTGGAAAACTAACAGTTTGTCACTGATATGAAGACGTAGTTGGAAAACTATGTACATACATTATATAAGTAATTGTTATAATTCACTCTTTATTACAACCCAGCTATTATTATTGCTTAATATTCTTGGACATCGATTCATCCGACAAGTCCCCAAATCAGAACACGGTTGAATAGGAAAAAATTATGTCCCAAATAACGAGGGTAGATGGAAGTAAAAAGCACAATCAGAAAAAAATTTGTATATTTATGGTTTTTAGATGACAAGATTTTAGTGTCCTCCAATTACCGTCTGGCATCGACGCAAACGTGCATAGAGCACGCTTTAATCCAATCCATGTCCCGCTAACAGTAATGTAATAAAACTCATTTGCCAAGTACAAGTTGATGTACTCGCCTATTAGTTACAAAAATCTTATAAAGATTATTGGTACTATCCCGTGGTATGAATTCAACTAAGTGGAGCGGGTTACAAACGTGCGACCTATTGGTTGACAATATGATGTCACACATTACAGAAACCACTGTATATATCACACATGCATACCCAAGAATCAATGAGCATACAAACGCGATAAAAATCACGTAAATGATACACATTCAAATGATAACAATGATTAAGTTAAGAATTAATGAATATATGAATAGGCGTACAAATAAAATCAGAAATACATTGAAGAAAACTAATCTACTTGTCATTTATAAATTATAAGAAAATACTGAATAAATAATTAAAACAGTAAGGATATGGAATGAAGACCAAATAATTTGTTAATACAATATACTTACATGAATCATACGAGCAAGACCGAAATCTGCTATTTTCACAGCATGTTGTTCGCCAACTAAAACATTTCTAGCAGCTAAATCTCGGTGAATATGACGCCTGGATTCAAGATACGCCATACCAGAAGCTATTTTAGCAGCCATCATAATTAAACATTGCATATCTAGTGCATGACCTTCAGGAGATTGTAAGTAGTTTAGTAAAGAACCTTTGGACATATATTCTGTAACTATGTAGAAAGGTTCTGTCTGTGTACAAACAGCATACAATTGTATCAGATTAGGATGATGTAAGCGTTTCATTGTTTGAGCTTCACGAAGAAAATCAGCAGCATCACAAGAACCTACAATGAATTGAATCAAAATGAAATAATATCCAGCAAAAATAATCCTACAGAAACGACATCACGTTCGAATTAAAATAGTGCATACCCAGAAATAGAGAATAAATTAGTTGGTTTCATCAAGACATTTAACAATTACGTATTAAAAATCCTTCCTAACTAACACAAGGTTAAGATGGATTGATTAAGTTTCATTTTCACATGAACCAAACCAACAGTCCGTACTTTGAAGAGTATTTAAATGACTGAAAAATAAACCAGTAGAGATTTTTTTAAATAATAGAACTTCTTGTTAGCATAAAAGTCACTAATGAAATATTTATTGTCAATAGAATGTAGGAAAGCAAAACTATAAAAAGTTACACAATGCCGTTCATTAATCAATAGACAATGATAGAAAAAAATAATAATCCACAATTACTAACTATGAAAACAAACTGTCAGTTAAAAACAACGTTCTGCTTGAAATAAATATGAAATGATCCAAGTAAGCACATTTTAAATAAGGCATAAATATGTGGAAAAAAACACTTAAAAAAAAGATGGACAATAATGAGTTCAACTCTTAAACTGTGAGAAAAAGATAATTGGCGATAGAAACACAAATACAAACAGACAATTGGTTAAACAAGGTCGGCATTGAAAAAAGTGATGGGTACACAGTTGTCTAGAGTTCTTGTATCATGAAAATTCTTAATAAAATGAGTATTCAATGGACATTATTGTTCACATAAAAAATAAACTGCACTTACAAAAGTATGATTAATGAATATTTTCAATATCAGTAAACCGATTCGCAAATATTATCATTTCAAAAATCATTAATCAAATATGACAAATCAGACAAGATTAATAAAAATAGACTGATTCTCCACAAAATAAAACTATGGACAGTAAAACAGAGAGGAAATTTAGATTTTTATAAAAATGTTCCACTGAGCAACTAAATTGACCCGGTGCATATATATATATATATATATATATATATATATATATATATATATATCATGTTTTGAAAGATAAACAAGATTACATGATGACGTAAACTAATCTATAAGAGAAGCTGATCCGTACATGCCACGTGTATAGAATGTATGATCAAGCGAGAAATAGATTATTATTAAGTGTGACAATGACGATGTATATAGAACTGAAGATATTAGGTACTAGGTCTAAAATATTGAAGTAAAAAAAACTTAACACAGCGTAAAAACAATGAGATGAGGGTTGATGCATTGACAAACTTTATTGGTTTGAGAAAAAAACGATAAATTTACTGACTTTACATTATATGTAAAAAGCCCATGTTTTGTTTGACTTTTGTATTAGTATATTGGAATTATGGTTAACCGCAGAGTCCACAACATGCATTTCGTCCTGCTTTGGACTCATCATCTAGGTGTAACTGGGGGTCCCAGTGAATGCCGCTTGAAACGCCAAAGTATTATTTAAAAGTTTAATGAGTTCGAAAATATGCTAACTTGTCTAACGTGTATGGAGTTATTTTTCAAAATATTTTCGTTGATGATATTATGGATGGAATTTTGACGTGTGAACACTGACATTCGGAATGGATGCAAATTCGTCTGGCGAATCCCAGATAGGATGAAACCTGTGTTCTTGATTCCCCTTCTAACCACAATCTTAATTTACTATAAGTTTTAACTAAAATGGAATAGCAACACATCAGTACAGAAATATCATCTACAGTCTTCAATATGAAGAATGTGAAAATTGAATCCCCAATAAATAACTTTCCGTACATTGAAATTTCTTAGAGAAATTTCCTTTATCCCAAATCTATTACCTTATTTTATGTAAATATGCTTAAACAACTTAATCAGAAGAACAATCAAACAATAGAATTGAATATGTATTTGTACATCAGGTGCCATTTGGATCAAAATTGTTTCTACTTTGCATTGACATCATGTGAAATATATCACGTGCACAGTTGGACGAAAAAAGGGTCTCAACTCTCTTACACGGAAAATATTTCAGCAGTTAAAAATTATTATTGTTACTACTTAACAAACAAAAACATAAAAACACCCATCTGAACCAGCCACCGTTTACTTTCTGCTTACTGCTAGGTATCATCAATGTGATGTCAGGTGATGATGAACCAAATCTAAATTATTCAGTGTAACTGAGCCGTGTCAGTAAGTGAAAGATTTCAAATTGTCGTTTTGGGGGGGTATAATCTTAACCTACGAGGGAGAACTGTTCAAAAACAATTGTAGCAGAGTAGTTGAATTCTTTCTCTACTTTTTACTCAACATCCAACTTCGTGTCATTTGCTACTTCTAGAGTGAACTTTTTATGATTAGCTTTTCTCTATAGTTGTTATTATTACAGCCTCCTTATCTTATCAATTCCTTCTAACACTAGTTTGTGTAGACTGATAGATATTTGTGCCAGAGCATTCGTAGTCCAAAACAATAATAAATTATTTAAATGGATTCTCAAAACTTAGGAAAAAATTATGGAACAAATGAAGTTACTTCATTAAACAAAAGAAAGAAGTAGTATCCAAAGGATAAAAAATTTTAGATAGTAAATTGATGTGACTGAGAGATTCTAGCATTTTAAACATCACTTATAATACAATCAAAATACGAAGTTAAAAAGGAGAGGTGACAAACAACTACAGAACAAGTACTGGAAAGAATAACACGAGGTTTAGGAAAATTACTCAAAACACAGCACATGGTTCAACGTAATTTTCAATGACTAATTATCACTATTATTGTCATATTTGTAACCTAGAGTGGCAACACTTATTTATTAATTCTCTAACACGATCGAAAGCATAGAACAATAATGAATTTTCGTACCCATTAATGCATATGATATAATGGATAGGTAATGTTTAGCATCACTAAAGTCAATTTCGGTTGCTTGCATATTGTTTAATTACTCGCAAGTAAATTATGACATAAATGTGTCTTGTTCCTTTTTTCGCTAAAATTTCAGTTTATACGAAAATATTAGTTTGAATAAACTAAGCAATAAAATTGTCGAACAACAACAACAAATTATTGATTTGCCAAACAAAATCAATGTATGAATGTTAGATGAAGGTTTGTGCAAATGAAATATATAAAGCAAATGAATAAAATCAATCATGGTAAATAGACTAGTACAACTAACAAATAAAAATATACATCGTTTTGTTTGGTGAAGCTAACTATGATATAGTCGATGTGAGAACAACATTTTGATCGTAGCTGCTAAACTGAGGTGGTAGACGGGCTAGCCTATTGTGACGACCCAATCGAGCTATATTGGCTGAGCCACATGTTTCTTTAGGTCTTACCATGCCAGGCAGGTCGATTGAAGAACGGTAAGACTAAAAGCAGCACCTCAAGGTCTGAGGGCGAAGTCGTACTGCTGACTGCAAACGGTTGTGACAGCAGTAGTCTCTCTAGAATAACCTACAGCTGCAGCGATGCTACCTTCTCACAACGGAAAGAAAGGATTAGAAAAGGTCTACCATAAAACTTTTGCTTCACACCTTACCACACGGATTCCCGTCTCTGACGGTAAGCCTTCTGAAGCGACAATACACCCAAACCTTCCAACAAAAAGTCTGTGCGTGACCGGCACCAAACAGCTGTTTCTTGGGCTCCGCTGTCACACTTCCAGGGCGATAAGACCACCAATATTTCAGACTCTTTTTCGGGTCTTTCAAGAAAGAAATAGCCTTTCACAACGTGGGCAACAAAGAATTAGCATTTACCCTCATAGCTCAAGCAGCACTCGAGGTTTTGTTGACGGTCGAAAACTTACCTCGCCTCTTAATAATTTTTCCAACTATGAATAACCCTTTTAATTTATCTTTCCAAACACATACCATCAATACTAATGATTTGAGTCTCCTACAACCACGCACAAATCTGCATGTTGAAGCTATTAATATTCGAACGTTGTGTCAGATAGGACAACAGGCTTTAGATGGCAGTCTAAAATCTCACACCAACGATGTATGCCGCATCTCCAAAATGCTCATACAGGGTCCCAAGTACGGCTATTCATTTGACCTCACCTTTTTAATTTAAAGAACTGGCACAATTTACCATCTGAGTATCTGGAGACCCCACTGCTACTTCCATCCACTTCGCTGGCACAGGTGTAGCATTAAATTTTAGAGAAGAACAGGTTCTGATAAACTGGCCCCCGAACGCCCTGGTACGGCCGAGAGTGGGGAGAGTCCGCTTTCCCTCTCGAAATACTCTCACACGGCCACGCGTATACAGCCTCTACCAGGGAAGTCCTACTCATTGCCTTCTCGTGGCGGGGGTGTTGTTTACGAAAATGAGAGGACGAAAAGCGAACGTCCGGCGCTTTAACCGGATTACAAACCAATGGTGCACATAGGCTCCAGTATCCTGTGGGAACAAATGGCGTATGAACCAATCGTTGATCACCGGCTACCATGGGATTGCATCTCCTTACGATGCTCCACTGCCTTGTAGGTTAGACCATTAGGTCAAAGGCTCGGGGTGTGGCCCCCTAAGATAACCACCTGCTTCGGTTTGGGCACCCGGGCAGTATCACAGCCCACACACAAATGATGAACTCTTCATGTCTATGGAAATTACCTTTCTTGCTTCGAAAAACAATAAATTGATTCAAATTATTATCATTACAATTATTGTCATTATTAATACTATTATTGTTATTACCATTATTGTCATTATTATTATTATTAGTATTATTATTATTTTCCACATTATTCACCCTCTTTTATACTTATACAGCGGCTCGTCTATGGTGGAAATTCGACTGTATCTAAACGTTCTGGTGTCACTGTCCGGTTGAAAATTGTATGTTACCACCGAATACGAGGACTGAAGCAGTTTTTCTGAAACCACGTGCACCATTCAAACTGTCTGCCTTCAACGTTCGCACACTAGTGCAGGTCGGACAACAGAAAGGGCTGGCTATGTCTTTGGAAAGTCTTAATATTGATGTTTGTTGTCTATCCGAGACCCGTA